TGGGGATGTGTTGAAGGGCAGCTAAGCTAAATAAATCTCTCACTCAGGATGATCATGTTTTTTTTTCGAATCTTTAATCTTAGTTTGTTATTTGTTTCGATATTTTCGCTAGTTTATACTTAGTCATTGGCTTGTATGAACATTGTTGCATGTTACCGCGGTACTTTTATCCTGACTCCTCAATAGTGCTTTGACAAAGGAACACTTTTCATGCTCTGAAAGTTCCGTCTCTGTCGCAAGATCATTCATATATTTCTTTGAGTTTGCCAATAGCATTTTGTTTTCCATTTATCGTTTGATGCCGCAGAAACAAGCATCGTTGAAAAGGCGGAATTAAGCTTTTGATCTTTTACACTTACCTGTTATGTAAGGGCTATTTTGTGAACCAAACACAGAACCAAATGGTGTTTATGAAGAACTAACTATAAATTGGAGAAGAATTTATGAATTTATGAATTTTTAAGAGTTTATGAAGAATTAACTATAAATTGGATAAATGCAGTATGTGCAGGCAGCACAATCGGATCGACCTAACCCATTCTCCTATGTTGTTCGGTTTTGGTAAAAATCACCTACCTCAGACGGAACAACAGCAGTATAAATATCATACACCAATAATTGGCACTTAAAAGAGGCCTCATCTCAAACACTCGCCTAGGCAATATCATCGTTGGCGTTCAGTGTTGCGTGCTTCCGAGTCATATAATGAAGCTAAGTAAAAAATGCTAATTTATACTAATTAAATAACTACCTCTGAATTGAACGACAAGAATAAATTAATTTCGTGTAACGCCATGACTGAATATTCGTTAACAAGAAACATGATTATTTGTAGTTGACATTAATACCAGCAAGCTGCGCTTTCGGTTGATGGGGACGTTAAAATGTTCTGTGATTGCTTAAACATCATCTGCACAAATATTTCCTAAATCGCGACTTATCCGCACCTTTTTTCACTGTTGGACGAAGGCTCAAAATTTCACTAGAAAAATTCAACGTTCGGCAGTTTTCTCCATGTTGCTCTGAAAAATTCGTTGAACTTTTAATTACCCTTGATCAGATGTTCTCGATCGTTTACTGTCTCTTGGAACCCGGCTCAGTATGCTCCTGGTCCAAAGATGACAGTTTATTTTGAAATGTTTCCTGTCCATTGTCACTAATATCTTCCCTCGAGCAATGGTATCACAAGCTTTAGTTTGACCTTTACCATTCATTCATCCTCCTTTTTTTCTTATTATTCTCTCAATAAATCCTTCGTTGCTTCGTTGCGTAATCTGGAGTTTATGAATAGTTTTCAGGCTTAGGGCCTACATTTTCTACCAATGGCTTAACACTGGAAGTACACTGATTCAAACGAATTCCGTGTCGGACGCATGAACAATTACTGAATAATTTCGGTCGATACCATTTTTGCCTTTCCGTTGATTTCATGTAGTTGTATCTCTTTCACAGCAAAACGCCGTTTCGCATACTTTCATGTGTACGTCGATTGGCATTAGGCGGCTGCATATCTGTTAAACATTATCTGAGTTCTGAGTCTTCTTCAGGTTCATTTTCATTCGTGCTTTAATACTAGCATCATTCCATTCTTGGATGTATCTCAACATTTCTTTAGTAGACGTTATGAGGATGGAAACATTGTCAGCAAATTATAGCTGATCTCGGAAGAGTGAGGAATGTTTGGAAATCGTCTATGCTGCCTGTACATGTTTTCTTGATTTTCTGACATATTGCAACGCCTATTACACGTCATCTGCAGGCCTTTTCGAAAGCTTTCTTGAAGTCGACCTATGCGTGGCATAGGACGGAGTTGAGTTGACGGTTGTCTTTCGTTGGTTACGGAAAAGAAGGTTTGTCCCCGTTGGAATGTCGGTCTTTCTTCACTTTGATGATTCTTTATAATGGCCATTGGCTGTTCTTTCAATGAAGTTGATGATGCGGTGCTGTTCTCCGTTTTGGTCATAAGCCTGGAGTGCCTTATTTTTTAAGGCACAACCTATAGCCATTTGGCAAGTGTAGCGTGTAGTCTCCTCTCTGCTTCCTACAGAATGGTACTCATTTGTGAACCTCAAAAGGAAAAAAGGCAAGTGACCCTGACCAGTGCTTGGTCTCTCTTTGTTCGACTATCCAGCGACTGATGAGCAACCCGTGCCTGAAACAGTGTGTGCTCAAGGGAATTCGTAAATAACACAAAGTTTGGCCTTGAGCATGATCTAACTTCCGAGGTTCGGGGGGGGGGTAGTGGGAATATTAGATGCTCGCCAACAGGTCCAATTCAGTAGTAACGTCCACAGAAACACTAGTGAATAAGTATTTAGCGTCTTCACCCCCAGTAATTCTGTAACTGGCTATAATGCTCAAGTCATGTTACTGTTGATATATTTTTGCGTTGTATATAAATTATCAACTTTATTTTATGCCATATGCCAAATTTGTCAACATTAAATTTAGTGGCTAGTATGGTAAAAGCGCATCCAAGTAAAAGGACAGTGGCGTCAATGTTGTGTTTCTTAATC